ATGCTATCATTTCTTTTTATTTTTAACTGATACTTAATAGTATTAAAGATGGTATATATTAAGTCGTATTTCATGGTTCGTGCATGGATGTAATTTCACATGTATAAATGATAGAAGCCATTTGAGATGCACACTGCTCGTTTAACATTCATTCCCAACGTTCACAAGTATAAATGTTGAAAATATATTGAGGTGCTTGCTAAAGTACTCATTTAACATTCATTATACACTCATTCACATGTGATTTCTCACACGTTTAAAATTCAGTCTCAACATTTTATTACTAGGGGTGGCCACGAATCGGATCGGATTAGGCATCAATCCTAATCCGATCCGCTCGCAACGGATTGGGAGATTTTGAATCCGCCATCAATCCGTTAGCCTACGGATCGGATTGGATCGAATCTGTGAAATGACGGGTCGGATAGGGTCCAATCGGCGGACTAAATTTTCCAAAATTGCCTATTTTCACCAATGATGAAAGTGCATAAAACTAGGAAAGTGCAGATCCAGATGATGAAAGCGTAGAAGAAGTCGAGAAGAAAGGTGAGGCGGTGGTATTCTGAGAAGAGCAGATCGGTGGCTATGTTTCGATTTGGTGAAGAAGATGGCAGAGCAGATCAGAAGAAGAGAAGTGAGGCGGCGGTATTCTAAGAAAAGCAGATCGGTGGCTATGTTTCGATTTGGTGAAGAAGATGGCAGCGCAAATCAGAAGAAAAGAGGTGAGGCGGCGGTTTTCTCACTGATCGGTGTCTAGGTTTTGATTTGGTGAAGGAGAAGTAAATCAGAAGAAGAGAAGAAAGGTGAGGTGAGGTGAGGCGGCCGCTTGTCACTTTGCTCTTCTTTGAGTTATTTTATCTTGGCTAGGTTTAGGTTAACTGAAAAAAAGAGAAAAGTTGGTTTGTAATGTCTGTCGGTGGTTCACTACTCCACTAGTTGTATTGTATAATACTATAAAACTGATACTATAATATTATAAAACTAATTGTATTATATAATACTATAATATATATATATATATATATATATATATATATATATATATATATATATGCTAGTTAAGGATTGGACACAGGATCGGATTGGATTTTTGACAGCCTAATCTATGATCCGATCCGTGAATTACGGATTCAAAAAAATTAAATCCACCACCGATCCATGAGTCTGACAATCAGATCCTATCCGTGCGAATCGGATTGAATCGAATCCACGAATTCGCGGATTTTTTACCCACCCCTATTTATTACTACAGGCAGATAATGTACTTTATTACTAAATGGGACGTTTTCTTGGTTACGAGATATCTTACTTTAATATAAAGTTTGTTGGAAGACATTCATACTTCTATTCTACATAAAATAAAAATAAAAATAAAAGTCTCACCTTTTAAAGACTAAGATCATTTTAAATATTTATAGAAAATATGATGCGTATTAAGATTAAAGAGTAAGAAAGAGGTCACGGTGGGTTTCACTTATCCTAAGCGTATGTCCCACCTTATTGGTGAATGGACCTAATAAAACTCTTAAGCCAACAAATGATGATATTATGTCACTTAATATTATTAATTTATTAAACTAAAATCAATGCATTCATTTTCTTATTATGCCCAAACATAATATTGTCAGTTTTTGATTCCCTCAGACTTTTTAGAATGTCATCTATATTGGTGTTACTTTTGAGTAAGCACGCTTAACTTTGGAGTTCTGATCTGTTTACGACCATCATACTTTTAAAATGCATTGTGTCATAGAAGGTTATTAAACTTTACTTATAGCATTTCACATTTTTCAGACAATGTGGTATAATGACACTCCATAACTTGACGATGTAACACATAACACCTTATAATAACTCGTTCAGTGTCTTGCACTCTCCCACTTAATTTCATTGAACATTTAAGTTAGTAAAGAATATAGGATTGATCACAATTCTATTAAGGTTTTGTTTTTTTTTTTTTTGTTTTTCAACAAAAAGGTTTAAGAGCCGAATTGGACAGGAACAAGTAACACTTTGTGAGCTGTAACTTATGCTCCAGCCACTTGGCCCAATGGCAGACAATGGGCGATGGGAACAGATCATCTCCAAGAAAAATTCTCTCCAAGTATCTACAGGTATTAATCCTAAGATTACTAAGATGCCACATCAACAATTTTTTTTTGACTCATTGAATATACTAAAAGTTACAGCACTTTCTTAAAATATCTAACTATGTTAAATTACAGGTTTACTCACATTAAAAAAAAAAAAAAAATTTTTTTTTTTTTTTTTTTTTTTTTTTTTTTTTTTTCTCCTCTATTCCTTCTCTCTCATATATATATATATATATATATATATCTATCTATCTATCTATCTATCTACAAATTATATATGGTCGGAGTCTCGGCGATGGTGTCTCTGGCGTCCATGCGCTTGGAGAAGGCAGCCACGAGTCTTGTGATCAGGCTTCCATGTCTACAATAGGACCATCTCCAAGGTCGAAGAAACCCTAGATTGAGCCTACTGCGAAAATATCATCCTTGTCCATGGCAATGAAAACCCTACATAGAGCGAGAGAGAGGGCGGAGATGGATGGAGTTACCTCACCCCATCTCAAAATTGCACAAACCTTCTCTTTGATCCATCCTTCCATTTCTCAACCTCCAAACCTCATTTTCTTGATCCGCCATTGACAACTTTCTCTTTCAAACCTCCTCTTTCTTTCTTTCTTTCTTTATTTCTATGTCGTTTTAGAGAGTTGCGTGTCTCATTGAATTGGGTTCACAAGAATCCGTTAAAAAGTGGCGAAAAAATGCTTCAAACCTTCAATCAACAAAACTGTTCAAGCTTTAGTCTTCGAATCAATTAATAATTCCAATACTTGGTGATGGCAATCAACGAAACTGTTCAAACTCTTAAATATATATTATTGGAGAACTATAATTGAATTTCCTAAATCGGATATAAATACAAGTTGAAGGATCATAATCAATTTTAATTGAAATTGACAAAAATAAAAAATAAAAAATAAAAAATCGATTCAATAGTAAAGAAGAGAGTTGAATCGTATATAATAGCTAGATATATATATATATATCTAGCTATGTGTATATATATATATATATATATATATATATAGGAGAGAGAAGGAAGAGAGGAGAAAGAGACAAAAAGTTTTTTTTAATGTAGTTAAATTTGTAATTTAACATAATTAGATATTTTAAGAAAGTGCCGTAACTTTTAGTATATTCAGTGAGTCAAAGAAGTTGTTGATGTGGCGCCTTAGTAGTCGTGAGGTTAATATTTGTAGATATTCGAAGAGAATTTTTTTTGGAGAGGATCCGTTCCCGTGATACCTGATTGTTATGTACAGCATTATTACTGAAAAATGAAACACTCTCCTTACAGTTCCTAATTCGATATTTTATGATCAGAGGGGTATATTTGGATTTTTAAATTTTAAGAGGTTTGCAAGTACAACAAATACTCTTTTGTGGTCCAAATTGAACTTTATTGTGGCCCATCACTGAAGATTAAGACAGCCATCCGTGTTGTACGTCCCCAAATGGAAATGACAGCTACATCCTCCTAACTTCTTCATTCATTGCCCTGCATAAACTTTAATTATCACACTAATTAATATACATGATTCTTTAATACTATAAACTTTTTCATTCAATACTAATTTTTAATCACACTTGCGTTTACACACCCTTTTAAGTTAACCTTCCATATATATTAGGGTTTTTCACTTTCATTGAATTTATTATTATTATTATTATTATTATTATTATTATGTGATTTGAACCCAAGGTCATGCTTTTATTAGTAAACCCTCAAAGTGAAGATACGTTTGCATGTATGCGTATGAAAAGAAGTGTTCACACTATATATTATGTGATTTGAACCCCAATACATGAAAGTCAGAAAGTGTTCAAAAAAGTAGAACCTATGAAGAAGAAAAATGACTATAAAGAAATTTCCGTGCTGCAGGTGTTTGATTACTAAACCAATAAAAGAAAAAAGTTTACGGAGAGACTGCTTTTTTATTTCAAACTCGTCATTGACATCACAATGACCTTTTTATCAGTGAACCAATCCTATTCTAAAATTTCACACTGTATGTAATGGTGGTGAGGTCGTTCATTTAATCCTAAATCATACCTCAACAAAAGCATGAGATTTATATGACAAGGGAGTGGTTATGAGTTGGGTAGGATTCTAAGTATGTAGTTGCTTTCCCATTGTGTTTGAATTCAATTGAATTTTGGATTGACATGGGGTGCCAAGTGTGAACTAATTATTGGGTGGATAAAAAAATGCAGCCTTTTATTTTATTCTTTTCTGAAAAACGAAATGCGTGTTCTGGAGACAGTTGATTCTTTTTGCATCCTTTAGTTGCAGGAATGAGTTCGAAAATAGGATGTTTAGTAATCACATTACCAGTCATTTTATTCAATTGAATTTATCAAAAAACAATTCAGAAATGTCCAATTTCTAATGATCCCAAATTGTTTATTAACACAATTTCTATGTTTTCTTTTATAATTATAGAAAATTTGAAATATTTAATTTTAAATGTTATTAATAATACTATTTCTTAAATCTAATATAGAATATGTAACTTTTTTATTTATTAAGATTATAAAATCAACTATTTAGCCTATTTATGATTTTTACACTAACAATATTTTAAATATTTAAATTTACTGATTAATTATTGTACATGAACCTCATGAGTCTTTGGTTTGATTCTTCTCATAATGATTGGAATTGCCATTATCAGTTTCCTAAGCTACAATGAAATATCTTAGAAAAACAGGATTTCTAGTATGAGGTTCGAATTTGATGAATTGGAAATGAAATCTCATTTTCCAAACGCAGCCTAAAGTAGAAACCCCTAGTAGTAAGCCAAGGATGAGAAGGTGCGTAGACTACTTGTAAGTCATAATAATTATTAATTTATTAATGTACCAAAAGAAAAATATTCATTAAATATACCGATATTGAAGAGAGAGAAAGTGCATGAATGAATGCAATCTGCAACTTCTTTGAAAACACACAGCACTTGCCTCTTTACTACTTACTGCTGTTTACTTCCTACATTCTCTACTTCCTCACTCTGTATATATTGGCTCATTATTTTTCTTCCCTACCAATCACTTGTTTGTGTCTGCTCATTTCCTTCTCAAATCTCAAATTCTCAACCACCCCTTTCCAGCCATGAACCCAAAACCATCCGTAGAATCTCTAGAAAATGGAATTTCTCAACAGGTACAGTTCATTGCCAATTGTCTTTCTTTTCGTGAATGTTTGAATTATTATTTTTTCTTCCGTATATTGTTTTGTATTAAGTTTTAAACATCATTTTGTCTCCATTATCTTGTTTTTGATTAATGGGTTGGTGTTGAATAGGCTATTAAACGGTAGGTTTTCTTTCTTTCTTGATAATGATTTCAAGAATGGTTTAAGATAAAATGGGCACCTGAGAAAATGTGAAGCTATAATGTGCAGGTAGTGAAATGAATTTCACAAATCTAAGGGAGACGTAATTTACATGTTATTTATGGTTTTGTGGATTTTTTTTTTTTTTTTTTTTTTTTCCTTTAAGTTTTGGATGAAATATGTTCTGTAAGCAGTTTTCTAGAGATGTTTAATTTCCAGTGTTTAGATAGGAGGAGGATAACTATTGGGTGGATTGAGTTTTACTGGACTCAATGCAACAGGGATTTTGAGTGTTTTTGGTGTCTAATTAAATTGTCAGTAATTAAAATGTTATAAAAAAATGTATGTTTGTGTATAGTACATATTAGTTGGAATTAACTGATTAAACATGGAGTTGTGATAGAAGAAATCAAGAATAGGTATAGAATGTGCAATACATGAAGTCTCCTGTTTGAAAAATTGGTATGACCTACCCTGCTTCTAACAGAGAAGTGCATAGGGTTCAATCCCAATGTGAAGTAATGCCTTTGATTTCTTTTCTTTTGCATTCCTCCTATTTGTTTATATAATGTTTGCTAAATTTGGTTTGCTAAATCAGAATGTGAAGAGGGCGTCGTGTTCAGCCATGTTCATTTTGGCTTATCAGAGTCTTGGGGTGGTTTATGGGGATCTCAGTACCTCTCCACTCTATGTTTACAAGACCACCTTCTCTGGAAAGTTGAGCCTCCGTGAGGATGATGAGGAGATCTATGGGGTGCTTTCCTTCATTTTCTGGACATTTACTCTTATTCCTCTCTTCAAATATATCTTCATTGTGATGTCTGCCGATGACAACGGTGAAGGTACAGCTTCGTCGTTTGCTGGCTTTATTATCAAGCTACTTGAAGAAAATTGAGTTTGTGGCTGAAAAATTATGCCATGTGCTGACCTCAGGGTTGCATTTTTCATGCTATTTATTAATAAACATTCAATATGAGAGTAGTTCATTGACGATGAAGTAAACAGAGAGATATTAGGGCAAGAGTCACTTTTGGTCCCAAAATCACTATGAACAATTGCAATCAAATTTGATGCTTCAATAAATAAATTAAGCAAGTGGGCCTGTTTGGTAGCATTTTGCCCTTGTAATTTACTAATTTAAAAAAATGGCTTCTTTTCTTCTTGTTTCTTGATTTATTGTTGCTTCCATTTTCTTTTCATTTTGTAAAACTTACACAGGCCATAGGATTTCTTTAGTTTTTCTCTTGTTCTTTAATTTTTCATGATTCCTTTTTCCTCCAAATGCAGCAAAAAAGTGTGTTAATGGTGCATCCACACGGCCAAACATTCTAGCTCTTTCTATATCCTCGGGAAAAACAATCTTGAACTGTTAAATTGGAATGCCAGAGTTGGCTTCTTTTTATTTGTTATATGAAATTATAATTGAATAGTCTCTCGTTTTAAATTAGACGCTTCACTCAGTGAATGACTCTGTAAAGTATGTCAATAATTTCATCTGTTCAAAGATGCCTGCTACAAGATTGGAGAAAGTAGAAAGAAGGCTTATCAATGTCAACTTCTCATTTATAGTGCAGGTGGTACATTTGCATTATACTCTCTACTCTGCCGTCATGCAAGACTTGGCATTCTACCGAATCAACAAGAAACAGATGAAAAGTTGTCTGCGTATGCTATAGAAGGAACATCGAACACATGGCAGAGTTCTGCTCTAAAGTCATTCTTTGGAAAGTACCCAAAATGCCGTAAGGGACTGTTGATCTTTGTTCTGCTGGGAACCTGCATGGCAATTGGGGATGGTGTATTTACTCCTGCAATATCAGGTAGCTGGATCTAGTGCAACACCCCTAATATTCTAATACTGTTTACTTTGCAAGTCTTGTATGCCATTTTCACCTGGATTTAGCATATTCCTGATCATAATTATGTCAACTCAACCTGGTATGATATAGGCATATAATTTGTATCAGATTGTTCTGCAGATTCATACACTAGCTAACTAGCAACTGTTGCAACTAATTTTTAGGCATTTCTTGCACAAGTTTTTTGTGTTAGAGACAATTGCATTGATTATATTTTACCTGTGGTTATTATCCCTTGAATCCTAGAATTTATTTTCTGGTGTGAAAGTATAAGTGAATCTATATTACTTTACATGCCCTTGCACCTATTTGAAGGTTTGATTTTATGTGATCTAATGCTATTGGTATTTGTCATTCATTCTTCTGGATCCTACCTGTGCTTGTGTGTATATATATACATATATGTTATTTTTCAATAACACTTGCACAAACCTTTTGATTTTATTCATCTTTGGAAAATTTATGTTTCTGGGATAAGAAGAGTTCATGAATAACATTGAGATATTTGGCATGATTATCCTTTTCAGTTCTTTCAGCAGTTTCAGGTGCCAAACTAAAGTTCACAGGACTTCATGAGAGTAAGTTTAGTTTCATTTACTACAATTACCAATTATTAACCGTTGACTAGTATCATTATCTGAGAAGCTTCTACCGTTTTTTCTCTTCCAGATTATATCGTTCTCATATCATGTGTCATCTTAGTGGGGCTTTTCTCTCTTCAGCATCACGGAACGCACAAAGTTGCTTTCATGTTTGCACCAATTGTCACAGCATGGCTTCTTTGTATTAGCGGCATTGGAATACATAACATAATCAAGTGGAATCCGTGTATATTTCGTGCACTTTCTCCGATTTACATGTTGAAGTTCCTCAGAAGCACAGGCAAGGAAGGTTGGGTGTCTCTAGGAGGAGTGGTTCTTTCAATCACAGGTACCTTTTTCACACTTCTGATATAGTCATAGTGGTTTACTTGCAGATGAATGAAGCCACTAATAACATATTTTCCTTGGATTACTGTCTCAGGTGTCGAGACAATGTTTGCTGACATAGGGCACTTCTCCACGTTGTCGATTAAGGTAATCTACATTTCATGCCTTACACATATTAAAAGGGAAACTGCTCATCTTCCAGAAAAAAAGAAGGGAAACTGCTTTGATTGGTTAATTTGATTTTATTATTATTTTTATATATATTCTTGATGATATAAAAAGATTGTCCCAGATAGCCTTCACATTTCTGGTGTATCCTTCTTTGGTTCTTGCATACTTGGGTGAGGCTGCATTCCTCTCTAGGCACCATGAAGATATCCAGAGAAGTTTCTATAAAGCCATACCAGGCAATACCATACTGAAATACCCAAAAGTTAAAGTTATTCCTACTTTATTCATTGTATTAATGTCAAGTCTCATATGTGCAGAACCTGTATTTTGGCCGGTGTTCATAGTGGCTACTTTTGCATCCGTGGTAGGAAGTCAGGCTGTAATATCAGCTACCTTCTCCATTATAAGCCAGTGCTGTGCATTGAATTGTTTTCCCCGTGTCAAAATCGTTCATACTTCAAGTAAAATATATGGGCAGATATACATTCCAGAGGTCAACTGGATGCTAATGTGCCTCTGTTTAGCCGTGACAATCGGATTAAGGGACACGAACATGATTGGACATGCTTATGGTATAAATCTAAACTGTTGACTTTTTGTCCAAATTGTTAATTATACCTTCGAGGCCATTCATGGGTGCTAATTTTTAATTGCATTGTGTTGAGTTTGTAGGGCTGGCAGTCACTACTGTTATGTTTGTCACAACTTGTTTAATGGCAATGGTGATGACAATTGTGTGGAAGCAAAATATAGTTACAACCTTCGCATTTCTAGTGTTTTTTGGATCAGTGGAACTCCTTTACCTCTCAGCGGCCATTTTTAAGGTCCCAGAAGGTGGCTGGATCCCACTTACTTTGTCCTTGATTTTTATGGGCATAATGTTTTTGTGGAACTATGGAACGTTAAAGAAACACCAGTTTGATGTGGAGAACAAGGTCTCAATGGATAGGATATTGTCTTTGGGGCCAAGCCTTGGCATGGTTCGGGTTCCTGGAATTGGACTTATTTACACTCATCTGGTGGCAGGCATCCCTGCTGTCTTTGGACACTTTGTGACAAACTTGCCTGCATTCCATCAGGTGGTAGTTTTCATATGTGTCAAATCTATTCAAGTTCCTTATGTTAGAGACAAGGAACGACTCCTCGTAGGCAGAGTAGGTCCAAAAGAGTATGGCATGTTCCGGTGCATTGTGAGATATGGTTACAAGGATCTGCAACAAGAGAATTATAATTTTGAGAATAGATTGGTTTCTGCAATCATACAATTTGTAGAAACAGAAGGAGGTGAGCTTGATAAACCAATGACAGAATCATTAACAGTGTTTAGAAGCTCCGATGCTGAAGGCCTTGATGCTTCTGAATGCACCTTCACATACCCTGGTCATGAAGAGAAAATGGTGCATTCTATCCATGACATCGAAGTGGTGAAATCAGAGATTTGGAATTTGGAAGGCCCTAGTCTCAAAGATGAATCTGTTCAGATACTGAAAGCTAAGGAGTCTGGCATTGCTTATATCCTTGGGCATTCTTATGCGAAGGCAATCAAATCGTCTTCAATTTTGAAGAAATTTGCTATCGATATTGTGTATGCTTTTCTCAGCAAGAATTGTAGGGGACCTGATGCTGTTCTAAATGTGCCACACACTTCTTTGCTAGAAGTTGGTATGATTTACTATGTCTGACTTTTACAGAAAATGTGCATATTGTACTTTTCTGTAGACTCTCTCTTGCCCTCAACAAGAAGAAAGGAGTAGCTAGCTAGCTAGGCCTTAATACTGACAAGTTACAGAATTAAGGTGGCATCATGCATGAACCTCTATGTAACTGCTTTGTGATATATCATATACGCAGATAAAGCCAATGGGCTTCAGGTTTGCATACCACTGCTCTTTAGATGTAACATTGAAAAGGGCAAAAAAAAAAAAAAAAAGTTTGTTTATACAAAACTGATAATAATGGTGTGTTGTTGTAATGTTGTTCAATGAATACCATGCATTTATCAGAAAGAATCATGTGATCATGTAAAGAATTAAGGTGGCATCGTGAACCTATGATAATGAAACTGGTTTGTGATAAATATTATCCGGATGGAAAAAGAAAAAGAAAAAGAAAAAGCAATTCAGCTTGTTTCTGGTTTTGTTTATACCCAACTCATAATTATTGAGTTGGGCTTGCATGTGTTGTCACGTTCAGTGTTGGTGGGCTTTGTGTGCTCAATGCCATTGCTGTTGCTTACAGTGTGTCCAATACTAATGGCAATGGGATTTTGCACCATACGATCCATGGGATTTCTGGATTTCATTTCAGCCAAGGAACTCCAGTGCTTCCAGACTGTAACCTGCTATCACTATGCTTTGTTTGGTATAATGTAAATTGTAGTTGTAGGAATTAATTCTCATAGTTAACATCGTCACCATAAATACTCATTTTCCTTTCGCACAATATTTGGGTTCGAGTAGTTACACTATTATAATCGCATGTGTTGCAACTTGCAACTTTTTTATGATACGTCATGATTAATAAAGAATAAAAAAGAGTAATACTATTTAGTATCAAGGATGAAATGAGCTCACTCCGTTTTGTATGACAAACTAGAAAAATTGTAGTTGAATGAATTTATTCTGATAGTTAACATCCCCACCATAAATACTAGGGATGACAACGGGTGGAGTTGGGGTGGAGTTGGCTAAACTCTACTCCAGAACAGATTTATAATTTGTGTATTATCTCCGCCCCTACTCTGGCAGACAAAGTACTGATTCTGGATACTTCTTTTAACTGCGTGGCGGGGGCTGGTTATGCCACTTTTATTATTTAATAATAAAAAAAAAATAGCCCAATGTGTTAAAATTAAACTGATAAATAAACTGGTCCAACTTCTAAATTACTAAATAGTGAATATTATATATATATATATATATATATATATATATATATATATATATATATATACATATATAATCGGGGCGGGGGCGGGTTCATCACTAAATCCGCTCCCACCCAAACCCGCTTCGGGTTTTTAATTATTTTATCATACTCGTCCCAAATTCATTTAGGTGGCTACTAAATCCACCCCATTATGGGTGAGGCGGGGCAGAAACCTGCTGGGGTCAGAGGGAGATATGGACTGTAATTGTAAGGCCTTCTTAAGAAGGTGATGACGAGTAAGATGGCAATTAATCTCAATGTGTTTAGTGCGCTCATGAAAGACATCATTGTGTGCAATCTGGGTTGCACTCTAATTATCACAATAGATAGTAGTGGAAATGGATTGAGTTTGGAGAGAAAATCTAGAGCGAAAAATGGGAGGCGGATTCTTGAGGATCCGACACATTGCATGTGAAGTGCAAGATAAGGCGCGTGAAGTGCAAGAAGACCATTAATGGAACGTGGTGATGTGGTACCGGAGTTGTGAAGAACCAATACGTTGAGATGCTTGAGAGCACGTGAAAAGAGTGGGATTACCACTTGAGGTGCGCAGTACCGGAGTTGTGAAGAATCGATACGTTAAGGTGCTTGGGAGCACGTGAAAAAAGTGGGATTACCACTTAAGGCGCACGATGACCGCAGATGGCGCGTTGTGACGCGGTGACGAAACTATGAAGATCCGACACGTCGAGAGTGCTTAGAAGCACATAAAAACGTGGTAAAAGCATGAGATTACCACTTGACAGTGCATGAAAGCGGATTCATTTGACATCCCGCTGGCCTTTGTTAGAGGAAGACTTTAGACGACGAGGCTTCCCGTCGATCTTCACTGAGTAAGACTTTACAACGAGGATTATATGTAGGCATGAAGTTGATCCATACTTTGCCCAAATATGGACTGTCATAACTGTGTAGTGGGCCAACCCATGTGGATTGGTGGATGATTTTGAGTGGATCCATCGACAACCCAAAATCTGGGCTGAAACAATTCTTGAATGGGCCAAAGACAAACTAGCCTAAGACAAATTTGTGGGTGAGGCCCATCTTTGGCGGCAGCCATGTGTGGGTGGACTATACCACATGGGTCGCATGTGATGGGTGATGGGTGTTGCGTGTTGGGTGATGGCTGTTACATTATTTTTACTGTGTGTATATGTATATTGTGGTGAGATGTGTTGCAGAAAAAGCAAAACAAAGAAAAAGGTAATGGTACGTGGCGGGACCCACTAAAATATTTGGCCAAAGTAAGATGATTTTTCTGACACCTAATTGGGGCTGATGGTGAGCAGTAGGTGGATGTTGTGCCTTTAAATAAGGTGTTTTGGGTCCGTGTGAGCTACGGAGAAAAATTAGAGAAATATATAGAGGCAAAGAGAGCCAAAAGTTTGAAGCTTGGATGAATAATTATCTTTCAGTATAGAATTTTTTTTATATCTTGAATAGTTTGGGGGTAATTGTGCTTTAAATATTTTGTTTATTGTTATTTTACTCAAATTACATATATGTATTGCCTAATTTTTATGAAATTTTCTTAAAATTCTTGTTATAGTTTTTCCTATTAGGACTTTTCGTCTCATCATCTTTCAGTTTCAGGTGAACGTGGATTGTTAGTTTCGGCTTAGGTGGAAGAGTTGGCAGTTGCGAATTTATTTTAATTATTTGGAGAATTTTGTATATAAATTTGAGAACTAATTTTTGTATAAATAAGGGTATTTTTTTTTTTATATCATCCTGGAAGTATGTTGATGTATTTGTAATTTGAAAGAATTGAGGAATTTTATTAGAATTTTGGGGTGGTTACAGAAGTGATTGAGGATGCTATAAAGCTTATGTAATCGCCTGATCTGAGGTCTGGTTGGGGGATTCATGTAGTTCAGGAGATCAAGCTTTTGGCCAAGAAAGAAGATCAAGAGGCGTTGGATTCAGCTATCGACGAGCTTGTTCAGCTGGGTATGCAAAGAGAAATTGAGGACGGTGAAGTGACCGGAGATGATGGAGCACGGTGGTGCTGTTTCTAGTGGCTGTTGGAGACGGTGAAGGACGGCGAGCTCGGGACGCCGTTAGTGATGGTGCAACAATTTGTTCTGGTGCAGAGAGTGTGAATTTGTGCTTACCGCGAGCAAGGATGAACAGCGAGCAGCAAGGACGAACGGTCGGCGGTGTGATGAGGAATGCAAATGCTGGACAGCAAAGGTTAGAGAAAGTTATATATATATATATATATATATATATATATATATATGCTAGTAGTACGCAATTCAATTCAACATTTTGCAAAAAGGAGTATGTGATGGTCACTCTATTTTATTTTATTCTTTCGCAGGTACAATATGAGAGAGCTTAAGAAAGCAATTGCAACGGCAACAGGGAAGAAGAAGGATTGTGTGTGTTTCATTGAAGTGAAAATTGATAAAGGATGATACAAGCAAAGAGCTGCTTGCATGGGACCTAGAATTTCTGCGGCCAATATGGTTCTTAGCATTCAGTACCATCCCACTCTCCTATTAAGAGAACATTTAAACAAAAACCTTTAATATTCTTTATTATCAGTTATTATGTTTTCCAACTATGTGAATAGGCATCTAATTTGTAAAGTATTACATAGTGCTCTTAGTTGAATGAAATTAAGAATTGGAACTACACTGCGCTGGTGGATGCTATGCACAATGGTGAATGCAAATGCTGGACAACAAAGGTTAGAGAGAGAGAGAGTTAAACAGCATTTACCTTCCTTATTATGCATAGCATCCATCGGTGTGTAGTTCCAATTATTAATTTTATTGTAATAAATGGATTTATTTTTTCAACTTTATGATAGGTTTTTCATAAATTTATTAGCATGTGTGGTGGGCACTATGTAACACTTCAAGTCCAAAGTGATGTATGGATTTACTGTGTCTGATTCTTGCAAAAATGTGCATATTGTAATTATCAGAATACTCTATCATGCCCTCAACAAGAAGAAAGGAGTAGCTAGCTAGGCCTCTTAACACTAACCAGTTAAAGAATTAAGGTGGCTGGCATCATGAACTATGAAGCCAATGGGCTACAGGATTGCATACCACATTCACCTTTTAGATGTAATGTCAGGGTAACGTGTCACACAGTTAGGTTAGTAAATTACGACACGATATGAGTTGAAAGGGTTTGAGTTTGGTATAAACATATTTGGGTCATAAAAGTGTCAACACGATTAACCCGTTTACTTAATCGTGTCAGGTTAGGGTTTAGGGGTTCAACTCGTATAACTCATTTATAATCCATTTAAGTGTTAATGTTATAATCGTAAATATGACGTTACTTGTTTAAATCCAATTATTATAAATAGTTTAATCATTTCAATATAAACTTTGTCTATGCCATATGATTTTTTTTTTTTTTTTAAATATTTAGATTAATTATGATAATTTTTTTCTATTATTTGATATTTGATTAAATATTAAATATCTCATGTCATTAAACGAATTAACACGTTTATTTATTTAATAAATAAATTTAAATTTACCTATTTATGAATACGGTCACGGACACAAATTACCACCCCGACACTTGGTTACTATAGATTTGATCTTTTTTACTTTCATCACCGTTGGATTTGGTTCGTGTACTCAACCACACCTAATTAAGGGGCACATTTGTCATGGTCACTCACGACACCATTCACATGCGTTGTTCCCTTGTGATCCAACGCTCCTAAATTCACTCGTGCAACCCAACAAGGACTCATCTCAGCCGTTCACTACCGGTCCGCAGACTTCAATTTGGGCGGTTGTGCTTGTCCTTCCTTTGTACCCTAATTGCATGACAAGTTCACAACAGTCCAAAAGTGCCGGTCATGTGATAGCAGGTTTATAACTTTATATCTAGAAAAGGAATTTGACTTCCCACGCGCCTCCATACGCGAATCTCCACGTTTCGACATCTGATTGGTCAGACAACTAGTGTACGTGTGAAAGCGTGTGGGGATTAGTCACCTAGATACTGTCTCATTTATTTTTCCGAGAAGAGTTTTTTGTTGAGTTAAATAAAATGCTTGTTTTAAAATAAGTTTCATTTCTAATTTTCTAAAAAATAGTGTTCAATTTGATACTAATTGCTTGAGACCAGTGGCGTACCGCAGAGGGACAACGCTCAACTTTTAATTTTTTTTATTTATTAATTTTATATGAATTTTTTTTATATTTGTATAACTGTTCCTTCTCAAATTTGAATATATATATATATATATATATATATATAACGATTTTACACCCAAAAAAAAAAGAAAAAAAAACAAAAGAATGTATGACACGATTGTAAATATCTATAATTTATTTATCAATTTATCACTTATTCATAAAATATGATATTTTTTTTTCACTTTTTTAAAATATTATATTCTTTTTACTTTTAAATAAAAAAAATATATATTTCATCAAGATATTCTATCACACTTTTTACTTTATCATAAACGAATAGATTGTTTCTATCACATCTTCAATTTTTAACATTTTACACGATTAAAACAAAGTAAGCGGAACAACCATTTATCAGAAACTCAATCGATCAGTCGTATTGCAGTACGACATACAAGTAATATGATTTTTTATTTTTTATTTTTATCATCTAAATTTAAAATTATTATTTTATATTATAATTTTAATTAGAAAAATTATTAATTATTACTATCAAAATTATTTTAGGGCTTGTTGTTCTTTCAAAATTTAGTTTGTATAATTGTGTTACTAATTATTATTCTCTAAATAAGATTTAGAATTTGTTTTTATTTGTAACTCAAATAAATGAAATCACAGATTCACTGATATCATGATTTTTTTTTTTCTTTTTACATATGTGATATATATATATTAGAACCGTTAGGTAACTGTGTTATTTTCTTTTTCATATTTTATTCTTGTCCTTTGAATATGATTTTTTTTTTTTTTTTTAAGTATATTTAATTGAATGAACTCAATTTTGAAATAGTAACGAATAATTTGAAAAATCGTTGTGAATGTACTGAATAGAAATATAATGAATCAATGTTTTAATTTTTACATATATTGTTTAGGTTCAAATTATATATATATATATAAATTAAAGATGGCCTTAACAGAAGAAAATTTCTGATTATGCCACTGCTTGAGACTGTTTTTAGAACACAGAACGAAGCTTTAGTCCAAAGTGATGTATGGATTTAGTGATTTACTATGTCTGATTATTGCAAAAATGTGCATATTGTAATATTATCAGAACACTAGTCTATCTTGCCCTCAACAACAAGAAAGGAGTAGCTAGCTAGGCCTCTTAACACTGACCAGTTAAAGAATCAAGGTGGCTGGCATCATGAACCTATGAAACTGCTTTGTGACTTTATCCAGATGAAGCCAATGGGCTACAGGATTGCATACCACGTTCACCTTTTAGATGTAATGTCAGGGTACATGATGTTGTTCTAAACGTGCCACACACTTGGTTACTATAAGACCTTTATTATTTTTGATCGGGTTTGGTTCGTGTACTCAAACACGGACTTGGTCCGTGTACTCAACCACACCCAATGTCGTTAATAAAATTTTAAAAATTGACAAAATTGACCTAAATCTTTTCTTATATTAAAAGACTTCAATAATATTATATTTTGACACAAAATGACAAATATATCATAAAATGTTATTGAAATGTAAAATATCAATTTTTATATTATTAAATTTTACAAAAATAAATTTCCTTTTTTTGATAATGACATTTGATTAGGTTTCTTTTAGGGGTTGATTAAGTTTGTTTTTTCTTAGGTCAAAGTTATAAAGCTAAACATCGATCTATTCATGTATAATTTGTCCAAATTTCAAAAAGAAAAAATTAGTGTAATTTACCTTTACAAAAATATACAACCTTCTGAAAAAAAAAATATTTATAAATAAATAAGTAGAGGAATTGGGTTGGGTTGGGTTGGGCTTGGCTTATCCGTACAAGTGCCCAAGCCAGTCCCAGCGACTAAAATTGACACCGGGCTAAAAAAAATTTATACCCGCCAACAAAATGATGTTAAAACACGCCCAAAGAGATACTACGTATTTGGCTTTTATTAAACTGCTTAGGTTGGACCAGTTCTCCATTCCTAAGAAATTATTAAAAAATAAAGGTGTAAAATTTAATTACGAAGGGTAGTAAATTAAAAAAAAATTAAAATTTGAAAAACATTGCAATAAATTAGATAAAATTTATTTCTTGGGGAGGAGGTCGTAATTCGTATTCCTAATTTCGTTGTTATAATTGTTACTCCTACTTATATATACACACACATGTACATTCTTCACTCTAATCAACTATTGTTACTTTTACTTTATATATATACACATGCTCCTCCCAAATTGATGATTAGTTTCCTGAACTCTCCACCTAAATATATATATTTACACAACTTTCAATTCTTCTACTTATTCTCCAATCTACAAATTTCTTCCTAATTTATCAATATTTTAAAATCTCAATTCTCAATCTCTTCTCAACACTCTATACTTCTTTATTATTTATAATCTATCATATTATTTATTGCGAAAACTCCCATTATGAATATTTTTGACAAAAAAACCCTCCTCGACTATTTTATAGGATGTTTTTAACTGAAATAATTTTTCAAAGAAAATTACCTCTTAACAACAAAGAAATTAACTTCTCTCGCCTTATTGTTAAGACAATTTTTTTTTTCTTCTCTCCCCATCAAGTAAGCACTGTAAGAAGGAAACAGGCTTTTGGATTCACTGTTATATATCTTTTGCCTTTGTGATCAAAATATTGTGCTGGGTAATATAATAATGTATTAGCATATATGTAGTTAATGTGTATATGGAAGGATATATGATATACATTTAATATTATATAATTTTTTAATCAAGTGTTTCGGAATGGTACTTCTATGTGTCTTGTTTTTAGAATCTGAAAAGTTTGGGGGTAAGCAAAAAATACCTCTTTATTTTGAAAAATGTTCAAATAACATTTTTGTTATTCAAACACAACCTTTTAATTTCAAAAAGTTACAAATAAAGACTTTTTGTCAAAAGATAATTGAAAAATTGAAAATACCTCCATTATTCTTTATTCAATGGTAATAAAAAATGAAAGAAAGTTGAAATTACTTTAAAGGACAATCCCAATGCGCCGATGTTTTGGCTCTCTTGCTACACGTACTTGCATCAGGCATGTGTGCTTCCTCCACCGACAACAACAACAAAGGCCGCCGCCGCCGTTGCCGTCCATAGCAACGCGTGGAGCACCAGCCAGAGAATGTCGCCGGAGAATGTCACAGTAGGTCCACCCTCCGAGAATCGGAGAACTGCCGGAGAATTAAAAGCAGTGTCCTAGGAAAATTTCAAATTTTTTGGTGCCTTTGGTGACCTCCGCGAAGGTGTTAAAGAAATTCCAGAAGGAAGAACAACGGCACGGTCGATAGTGCAGCCGACGAAGACGCCGTCGCTGAGCTCGGTGAATTGGACGGCGGTCAATGGCTTATAGTGGGCAGCGTAGCTGAGAGTGTTGTAGAAGGTGAAGAACTGTTTGAAGCAATGGGGTACGTCTAGAGGGGCTAGAATGTCGTCGATGAAGAGGTGTTTGGCCCGGGCCTGAAGGAATTTGACGCCGGCGTCATTGCAGAGGATTTGAACATGGCCATCGGGGTCGGTGGAGAGTAGGCCGGCGAGGGCGGGGAAGTGACAGAGAGTTAGAGAAAGAGAGTTTGAGGATTGTTGAGTAAAGAAGAGCCATTTGGAAGTCTGCATCTTCATCATCTGAAATTGTACATGTCTGATGAGCTTCTTTTTGTTGTATATCTTCTGAAATTGTACATGACTG